GGGCTGTGCAGGGTGGCCAACCATCCTTGTTTTCCTTGCACTGTTCTGGTGTCAGCACTGAAGACCCTACCCTGCCTTCTGGGAAACTCCTCAGTCCTGGGCAAATTAGGACAGCTGGTTATCCTAGCTGTGGTAGCTCAACAATGTGCTTTTGCTTCAATGTTTTCTTGGCCTCCCAAAGAATCTGACTCGCTTTCTACTTCCCTCCCCTCACACCTTTTACATTCTCTTCCCATTGTCTCTGGAATGTGTTTTGGGTGAGTGGGTGTGGGAGGAGGTTGAGGAATGAAGATGGATGAAAGGCTATGTTCCCCAGGACAGTCTGTTAGATGGAGGCAAGGGTGGAGGGGAGAAGAGGCAGGGTGGTGAAGGGCAGGGGTCTTACTCCTCCACTGAGTCCTCCTGAAGAGTGGAAGTCACACTGCTCCACACTGTCTCTTCTCAGGACAACGAGGAGCCCCCAGCTCTGCCCCCTAGGACTCTGGAAGGCCTCCAGGTAGAAGAAGAGCCAGTATATGAAGCAGCGCCTGAGGCCGAGCCCGAGAATGACTATGAGGATGTGGAGGAGATGGACAGGCATGAGCAGGAGGATGAACCAGAGGGGGACTATGAGGAGGTGCTCGAGCCTGAAGGTTCTTCTTTTTCTTCTGCTCCGGCTGGTAAGTGATGGGAGAAGAAGCAGGAGAATTTGGTCATGTCCAGGGGAGGGTAAGAGGAAGAAGAATTTCTCCATTGCCCCAGTAGGATCTTTCTCTGTTTGCCTTCTTCATGTTGATGAGACCATGTTTGTGTTTCTCATTATGCAGGATCATCAGGCTGCCCGGTTGGAGCTGGGACTCTGGGGATCTCAGCTGTGGCCCTATATGATTACCAAGGAGGTAGGTTGGGAGTGGCCTGAGAAGCCTGGTACCTGCAGGCCCCTGATATAAGACAAGGGGACGTGGGAGAAGAGACATTCATGTCTGACCATTCTAATATCCCCTCAACTTTCTCCTCAGAGGGAAGTGATGAGCTTTCCTTTGATCCGGACGACGTAATCACTGACATTGAGATGGTGGACGAGGGCTGGTGGCGGGGACGTTGCCATGGCCACTTTGGACTCTTCCCTGCAAATTATGTCAAGCTTCTGGAGTGACTGGAGCTCACTGTCCACTGCAACTGTGATTTCCCATGTCCAAAGTGGCTCTGCCTCCACCCCCTCCCTATTCCTTTTGCAGATGTCTAACCAGATGAGATTCTGGACAGACATCCCTCTCCCGCTTCATTAAGGGCTTGGGGCAGAGATAGCATGGGGAAGGAGGTCCCCTTCCCCAAGAGTCCTCTCTACCCTGGATGAGCTCGTGGACATTTCTCTTGTGGTCTTGCCTCCTTCCCCATGAACACCTCTCTACCACCCCAAGCTCTGCTCTAGTCCTCTATGAGCTCTGGGCTTCCTGGTTTGTTTACCCGGAAAAGTATGTCTAGATTGTGTGGTTTGCCTGGTTGTGCTATTTGCCCACTTTCCTTCCCTGAAGAAATATCTCTGAACCTTCTTTCTGTTCAGTCCTAAAATTCGAAATAAAGTGAGACTATGGTTCACCTGTATGCTGAGGTAAATAATACTTTTTGTGTGGCCCTCATGGCCCCAAATCTTAAGGCTCCAACCTTTCCTCTTGCAGACATATCCAGGAGACTTTCTCTTACCACTGCCAATTCTCCTGCACCCTAGATGTCAAAGGCTAGGCCTTTTCCTTAGGTTGAACTTTTTTTTTTTTTTTTTGAGAAGGAGTCTTGCTCTGTTACCCAGGCTGGGGTGCCGCAGCATGATCTAAGCTTACTGCAACCTCCACTTCCCGGGTTCAAGAGATTCTCCTGCCTCAGCCTCCCAAGTAGCTGTGACTGCAGGTGTGTGCCACCACGCCCAGCTAATTTTTGAATTTTTAATAGAGATGGGATTTCCCCATGTTGGCCAGGCTGGTCTCGAACTCCTGACCTCAGGTGATCGTCCCCCCCTTAGCCTCCAAAGTGCTGGAATTACAGGCATAAACCACTGCACCTGGCCTCCTTAGGCATTTTAAACCCAGTCCAAAACAGATCAGCCTGAGCAATGGCTGGGCATGGTGGTGTGGGCCTATAGTCCCAGTACTCAGTAGTCTGAGGTGGGAGAATCACCTGAGCCTGGGAAGTCAAAGTCAAGGCTTCAGTGAGCTGTGATCGCACCACTGCACTCCAGCTTGGGTGACAGAGTGAGACCTTGTCTCAAAAAAAAAAAAGAAAGAAAGAAAGAAAAAGAAAAGATGGAGAAGGCATTGGAATCAAGGAGGAGCTAGAATGAGTTGCTAAGACCCATAGTTAGTTGCTCCAGGGCTTCATAGAGTTGGTGAGCTGCCCAGCAGGGTGTCCAAGGGAGAGAATTCAGTCATGGGTTCATAGTTTCTGTTTCTGGTTGGGCCAGTAAAGCCCCTTTCTCATTCCTCTTTTCCGCTTATCACTAGAAATAGAAACTAAAAACCATGGCTTCAGGCTGCTAAAAACATAAAACAAACAAAACAGAACAACACCACAATAAGGCAGGTTGGACAAGCTTGGCTTGTGCTCTGGTCTTTGTTCATGATACACACTTGGTTTCAGCGACAACTTCTATGCCTGTGAATCACACATCTGTCTCTAGACTTAACTCATAAGATTCACCCAATTAGCCTTTCAGAGTGCAAAGCAGCTTTTATTTCCTCTTCTAGAGACACTGAGATTTCTAGTATACAGAGGTCAGTCACCACAGATATACTCAGTCTCATTCTTCACTTCAGTTTGATTTGATATCACACATAAATCAGATTTTTATAGTGATTTTCGTGACACATCTTCAAGTTCCACCTTGCTTTTCACTTTTTCCTTTGTTGTGAGACAGAAACTTCTTTTCCAGACCCTTATGCTACTAAGGCAGCAAGGTCCTCTCTGGCCCAGTTCTACAGACCCATCCTCCATGTTCAGCTGATCTCTACTCTGGACTTGCCTTTCTTGGTGATGATACTCACCAAGGGCTCTGCCCGTAGATGTGTCCCCTCCCTGTGTACACAGTCCCTCTTTGCTTCCCTCAGCTGTTTCTAAATCTGAAGCCACATCTAGCTGTCTTGCCTCTGTCAGATAACACTTGCCATTCATGCCGTTCACTCCAGCTTCCTCTCACAAATCATTTCTGTCTAATCCATAGTCGCTCTGAAAGGCTTTGGTGCCACTGCCCTCTCACTATGAAGTGTGCTTGTCTTATTGAAGCTCGCGCTTCAACACGGCTCTGAAGGCAGCAACTGGAGGGGAAGAGTGCAGTTTGAAGTGTACAACCCACAAGCAGTTGTGGGCAGTGCCACTCTCTTGAGGCTGCCCCCACCCACCCAGTTTGGGAAGGGAAAGCCCTCTGCCCTCTTCCTTTCTCCAAGTAGCACCTTTCTTCTCTATTCTCTATGTAGCACCTTTCTCCTCCATTCTCTATGTAGCACCTTTCTCCTCTATTCTCTGTGTAGCACCTTTCTCCTCCATTCTCTATGTAGCACCTTTCTCCTCTATCCATCCATAGCCCCTGAATTTCATCTCCATGGTCTGTAGTTTCCCTTTCTATTTCTATTAAAATCACAAACCCAGAGTGGAATTTAGGAGCTTTTTTCCTCCATGTAGGAGGGACTAGATTCAAAACATGTGGAACTACCACCTGGACAACTCTCTTCCTTTCTTGCCACTGTAGTGTTAGCTTCTTTCCAGTTACTCATCTTCACAGAATAAAACCTTAGGTCACACCCTAGTCATATTTTTAGAAAATGGTGCCTTATATACAAATATGAAATATAAACCAAAGGATGGAATCAGGAAAAATAGAGTGACATTACCAAATAGTACCAAGTGGCACATGACAATGAAAAGATGAGCGTATTTCTGGTCTGGGGCTTGCTCTACTGCCTTCTCCACTCTTTTCAGAGGTTTCACCTACTTCATCTACACCAGCTCTGAACCATGTTTAGAGAGAACCCAGGCAATAACAAGCACTCAGATTGACTAGACTCTTTCTTTTGTTGGCTAAATTTTTTATCATCTGCTTCTGTACAATCCCTGTCCTTTTCTTTTCCTATTTCCCACTTGCTTGAGGACTGCTAGAACTGCTGGGAAAATGATACCAATTACAGTGAGAGGAATATAAACACAAGGCTAATAACTCAACACTCCTGGCTTCAGGTATAACCAAAGAGAGCGGAAAGGATACATTCCTGCATGTGGCTGAAGGACATGAAGGCATACCAAACAAATCATTTCCATCCGGTTCCCAACTTAAAATCACCACGTGTCTAAAACCTATTTCATAAATAAAGAGCTGTATTAAATCATAACTATTGTGGATGACTATGTGAGATAAGATTTTGCTGCACCAAAAAATAAGCATATCCTAACTTATTGTCACTAGTATGACATCCTTTAGGGATTTTCAACCGGGAGCCATTTTGCTCCCCAACCTTTAGCAATGTCTGGTGACATTTTTGGTTGTTGCCACTGTGGGGGTGCTACTGGCATTTAATGGATAGGCCAAGGATGCTACCAAGTATCTTGTAGCACACAGAACAGTCCCTTGCAACAAATAATTATCCAATTCAGACTGGGCACAGTGGCTCACACCTATAATCCCAGCACTTTGGGAGGCCAAGGCGGGCAGGTCACCTGAGGTCAGGAGTTCAAGACCAGCCTGACCAACATGGAGAAACCCCGTCTCTACTAAAAATACAAAATTAGCCAGGCGTGTAATCCCAGCTACTCAGGAGGCTGAGGCAGGAGATTCGCTTGAACCCAGGAGGTGGAGGTTGCAGTGAGCCGAGATCATTGTCATTGCGCTCCAACCTGGGCAACAAGAGTGAAACTCCATCCCCTCCCCACCCAAAAAAAAAAAAAAATTATCCATTTAAAAATGTCAATATTCCAAGTCTCTTAAGAAGCCCTGCTTTAGAGGATGCTAGTTTCTGCTGTGTCTTTTTTTCTTTTACTTTTGTTCTTATGAATATTCACTGTTTGTTACCAAAAATAGCAGTATCATCCATTTTTGTCAGACTGAATGCATGACCAGCAATATGGATGGGTAGGAGCAATTTCAGGGAGCCATTAGGTTCACATGTCTTCCTCTCCAAGACCCCAATGGGGTACCCAAGTGGTGTCTAGGAGCTGGTGACTGGTGCCATAGGAACTGCAATGGGCCTTGTCTGGACTTTGCCAAAGGTGTGGTCTCCCTGGGCTACCCTGTGCATTCTGGCATGACGCTGAGGTTGGCATTAGTGTATTGAGGTCATTTCAGATAGCACAGGGTGGCCCAGGGCCATGCCTATGTTCTGCCTAACTCAGAACATAATTTTCTGAGGAAAAAACATCTTGACCCTTAAGTTATTAAAATGTTACAAAGTAGGCTTGTGGCTTTTTGTCCTAATGTTCTCCATAAATACGGTGTCTCCTTTGGACTCCCCATTTCTCAAGGCTTTCCTGCTGTATGTTGCCAAGATTCTAACAACAGACTCTGTGACCCCATTTCTGCCCCTCATGTTTTGGCCTGTGGTATCTTCAAGGCTGCCATGCTCAGTCAGGGGCTCTCCTATGTCAGGCTGTGTTAGAACTACCCTGGCCTAGAGGCAGTAGAATGGCCAAAACGAGCCCTGGACTTGACCATCAAAAGAGACCCAGCTCCAGAGCCTCCAGCTTTGTTCCCTTCACCCTGCATTCCCTGGGGAGTAACTCTTTGTACCTTAGTCCCATTCTGCATTTCCTGTCCCATAAATTTGAAAGTGCTCTGTAAACTAAAAAGCCCATAAAAGCACAGGCCTGTACTGATTATGGAATTTCATGCTCTCTCATCGCTTAAGAAATTGGGTCCATCTTCCAAATGGCCTCAAATTACTTATTTTCTTCTCAGACCAATCTATTTTAGAAAGAAAGAAAAAAGAAAAAAGAAAAAAGGAAATAAGTCACTAATATGTCACTATGGTACAAGACATGGCTTAGGAAATTCTTTGGCCTTGTGTTGAGGTTTTGAAGGACATTGCATGTTCCAATACACCCTGATAAGCAAATAGGCAGTTTACAGAAGGGAATCCTCAAAACCACACTCTGTCCTACATCAGGAACTCCGAGAAGAAATCCAAGAAGGGTGCATCGGGTGGCATCTGCATTTTTAGGAGACGTATCTTCCTCGTGGTCTGACTCTAAAGGTGGAGACTAAGCTCTCTCGGGCCTGCTCACGGGGCTGACACATGCTGGTCAAAAGAATCGGGTCAGTTTTGTGCTCTACGATGTTGAAAGGACAGGACTTCAGGTGCTCGGACATGGAGGTGACTTCATTAAACTCCCAGCTCTTGATTTTGGAGAAGAGGCTGCTGAACTGCCAGATCTGTTGAAAAAGATAGAAGTTCAAAGGTGAATATAGGGGTGTTACCCTCTGGCTGGCTTTATTTGGGCACTATAAGGAAATATCCTTCTGTTCTTCATATTCTTAGACTCCAGAGTGTTTAGTGGCTCCTGAAGATGTTTGGTAGCCCCTTCTCCAGCATCCAACTCCTAATTCCCCCTGCCAACCAATAATCTTCCCAACCAGCCCTGTAGTTATGAGAATCACTAACACCAATCAGCATATTGACACACACTCTCCCTTGCTCCTCCACCAGCAAGTGATTAATTTTAGAGTAGATGCACAGTTCAAATCAGGACAATTAGTACCAGTGCAATTCTTATTCCAGAACTTTTGTTGGAGATACCAAAAAGCAGATTCTCTTTTTCTTTCTGTACTTGAACTGCGAAGCTGAAGTCCTAGGAGCTGCCGGCAATCACCAGGGACCACCGAGTGAGAACTATCTTACAATGTAGCCATTATTGAGGAAGTAGAGGTAAAAAACAGAAAGAAGAGATGTCATTTGGGGACATTTTTTGAGCTGTTAGATCAAGCCTTACCTGAAGCCATTACCGTTAGACTTTTTAGTTACACAATCCAATAAACTCCCTTTATTGTTTATGCCACTTTAGGTTGATTTTCTATTGCTCGAAATTAAAGTATTCTAACTCATAAGAGTCTCACTAGAATGGGAACCCCATAGGAAAATTCTATGAGTTCTGAAATATCCTCTGGTCTTTCCACCTGGGATGTAATGGCAAAGTCACCGTTTTCAAGTCTGGTTATGTGAGTAGGCATAGCCCAGTACTCTTTCAACCTGACTACTTCACCTGCAGTTTCTTGTCCTTGTTGCTATGTAGGAAAAGTGGTTTCTTTGAGATCTTAGAACTATTTCTCTTTTTACTTTAAAAATCCATTCTAATGTGAGTATCCTTTAGCCCCAACTAAATTTTCTTTATTTCTTTCTGCAAGGAAATTAGCTTGTCCCAAATAATATCTGAGAGTGGTCAGCCATCATTGAACTGGGGACAAACTTGAGCCAAAAAATAATGGGATTTCTAGTATCTAAATTAAATTATTTACATCTGATGTTAGGTGTTTTTAGACAATACTATTTCTGAAGGCAGTGTGTTAGTCTTCATTCATGTTCCTCCTAATACGTGCCAGGTTGGCAGTCAGTGTTTATTTAACACTTGAATTCAGGCACGTATACGAGAGAGAGAGAGAGAGTCTTGTAATTACTTTTTGAGGAAGACTGCTCAGGAATAAATAATGGAAAACATACAAAATGTTTTAGACATAATCAATAAAAATAGATGCAAACAACTCTAACTCCCCAATGCCAATTTGCAAATATCACATACTAGGAAGAAATTCAACAGTGAGATTATGGAATTATTGACCTAAATGGGCATCATAAATTAATGGTTCATATTACCAACATGTTTACCATGAGAAAGGATGCTACAGGCACTGGGATATGATGAATTAGGAGCCTCACTTCAGTATGGTACAAGCTGGTAGAAGTTATAATACACTTAAACAAACATGACCTATTGGGGAAAAGGAACAAGGTATTTCTGAAGGGAAGGGTTCTTTGATCTATACAGCAGAGTGTTTTTTGAACAATTAAATTAGCATTTGAACCAGGGGAAATCAGTGGGCCAAATTCATTTAGAATTTCAAAATGTCTTTATCAAAGGCAAAAACTGTTTTAAAAAATGAGTTGACATGGGACTGAGGAGATTTGTTGGCCTCCTGTACCAATCAGAGTCAGAGCAGGGAACAGGCAGCACTCTCAGACTTGGTAATTTGAAGAGAATTTTTTTTTTAAAGGAATGATTTACAGACGCGAGAACAGGGTATAGGAAAGCCACGAGATACAGTGCAGCACCCAGGGTGAGCAGCTACCTAGAGAGTTATGCCCTGGGCCTGAAAAAGAAGAAGGAAGGTCGTTGGATCCCGGAGTGAGTAATTTTGTGTAGAGAGCCACCTGATAAAGCCACCTTCAGTGGAGGGACAGCACCTGCTCAAAGTATCACAAAGGGGAGGAACCATGCAGGGGGGAAACCAGGAGAATAGATACTTCAACCTCATTCTTCCCTCCCTCCCATCTCCTGCTGACATGCTCCATTTAGGTTATCCCCACTGGAAGCTGGAGGGCAAGGGAGCCAGCTGAGGCAATCTGTCCAGGTCAGCCTCCTGGGGGACAGACAGGGTGGAGAAGGATGGAGAATGGGTCTTGTGAGCAAACAGAAGATATTCAGCACACATACACAGATGAACAGGCACTACCCTCTGGATTGCTATTTATGTGTTCATAGGTCTGTCTTTTCTACTAAACTGACCTCCTTGAGTCAGTCTTATTCTCAGCAACTGTTCCCATGCCTAGTACCCTGCTTGGCACATAAAAAGCTGTTTAAGGCTGGGCGCAGTGGCTCACGCCTATAATCCCAGCACTTTGGGAGGCTGATGGGGGTGGATCACCTGAGGTTGGGAGTTTGAGACCACTCTGATCAACATAGAGAAACCCTGTCTCTACTAAAAATACAAAATTAGCCGGGTGTGGTGGTGCATGCCTGTAATCCCAGCTACTCGGGAGGCTGAGGCAGGAGAATTGCTTGAACCCGGGAGGTGGAGGTTGTGGTGAGCC